GGAGGAGACAAACCAAGCAGGGGAAAGAGCCGGGTCCTCTATAAATACCAGTGCAGGGGCGTGTGCCAGGGAGGGAGGCTGGGATGCCACCCACCAGGGCAGCGCCTCTCAGAGTCTTACATAACCAGCACAGGGCTCCAGGCCAGCGAGGGACGGTTGGCTGGTGAGAGGCCATGGACAGGAGGGAGGTGCCTGAGGTGCAGAGAGATCCTGGACCCACAGCAGCTGCCCCCTGCAGTACCCAGAGTGCAGGCTGCATGCAGAGGATGCAGGATCTCAGCAGGTGCAGGGTCTGGAGTGCTCCCAGGGATACACAGTACCGGGGGGCACGGCAGAGACCCCTGGCCCGGCCCCTGGAAACTGCCTCAGGAGACCCAGACCCCAGACAATGGGAACACGGAGGGAACTTCTGTCAGAACTCACAGCTCCCCTCCCCATGGCTTCCTGGCACACTTGAGAGGTCAGTGGGGGTGGCAAGGAGGGTTCCAACTTCAGGGGCAGGGGAGAAGGCCCAGCTCCCCAACCTGGGCGGCACCAGGTGCCTCAGCCGGGTCACAGCCAAGGTCAGGGGCTTGGAAAGTGCCTATCACAGAGCTTGCTCCCGTCATTGGGGGACACCCACCGGGGTCAGCCCTCCTTCACGCCCAGTCGCTGTGTCCCCTGGCCTGAAACACGGCTGCCACGTCCCCTCCTACACAGCGCTGAGCCCAGAGAGGGCCCTGAGAGCCCATCACCCCCCGCCCCCCGCCCGAAAACAAACCCCAGTTTAATTCAGAGTAAGACAAGAAGCTGTGGTGGGAACCATCCCCTGGGAGCCACCTGCCTGGGCTGGGACACACTTCTCTGCTGTCCCTACAGGTGGTGAAGGGAAGCACAGGGCCATAACAGGGTGTGGACACCTGGGCTTGGCGGTCCTCGAGCGCCACCTGTTGCCCATGATGGGGGCTTCCTGAGGGGCCTGGGAGAGCGGAGGCAGGAACTGGCAGGGCAGGGCAGGAGGGCAGGGGCAGATGCTAGGCTTGGACGGGAAGGTGGCCTGGGGAAGCGAGGTTCCACTCTCTCAGCCTGGGCCTCCAGCCTAGGCTTCCACTTGCAGTTCATCCCATGCACTCCACAGCCAGGGCCCAGCATGGAGCCACCCTGGCCCCTCACAGAAGCCACAGCCCCCGTGGCCTCCCTGCATCCTCCCAGTGGCTCACGGTGACCCTCCGCCTCTCCCCCTCCTCAGCCCCTCCTGCTGCTTCTCGAGCCTTCCCCACCCTACCACCAAGGAGGTGCTGCCATCCATTGTGAGGGCAGAAACCATCTGTGTCCCCAGAAGCCTGAAAAGGGTGGGAGGGGGCAGGTGCCCTCAGCCAACTCTTTCCAAGTGGCCAAGCAGAGCCAGAGCAAAGGGGGAGAAAGGGGCAGCAGGGGGAGTTTGCAGCTCACCTACGCACCCACTCCCGCCTCCCTGCATGCCTTCCCTTTCTCCGACTCTTTTCTTCTGTGTAAGGGAGATTGAACCCAGCGGCACTTAACCACATCCTCAGCCCTTTTTTATATTTTACTTGGAGGCAAGGTCTGGCCAAGTTTCGTAGGGCTTCCCTAAATTGCTGAGGCTGGCTTTGAACCTTGGATCCTCCTGCCTCAGCCTCCCAAGCCACTGGGATTAAGGCATAGCCACTATGCCTGGCAACCCCTTTTGTTTTGTTCCCTACCACTCCTTCCTCTCTTCAGCCTCGCCTGGGCTGAGCACTTGCTTCCAGACCCAACACGCACAGAGACCAGCACAGTCCCAAGGACTCACTCCCCTTGCCCACCTCTGCCAACTCAAGGAGCCCACATGCTGCTCCAGATCCCTAGTCCAATGGACAGGCCTATGTGGTCCAGAGCCTGGACCCCATCTTCACTCATTGGCCTCTTGTCTCCATCAGCCGTGGATCTGTCCCTCCTGCAGTCGCCTGGCGGCTCTCAGCCAATCCTCCCGTGGAGGCTGCCCTGCCCTGCCTCTCGGAGCTTCTAGCTGCAGCAGCCCCAGCGTCCTCATCCCTACCCGTGCCAGCTATGGTATCTCACTGCATCCCCCTCTCCAGCCCACCTCCAGGGGCACAGCCTGCCCTTCCGGGCACCCTGTGTCCAAGTGTCCAGTCTCCACTAGCTCTACTAGCTCCCTGCCAGCTGCAGCTGTAAGCTCTGGGCCACTGAGCAGTGGTGGGCAGTTCCCCTGTCCCCCATCCCTGGGGATCTTGTCTGCCTCTCCTGCATTCCCCAGGTGCACCGCAGCCATGGCCTCTGCCCAGAGAGCTAGGTGGCTTGTCCCTGTTGCCCTCAAGGCCTGCCCGAGTCACCTCTGAGGGAGGACTTCCCTACTGCCCTGCACAAAGCCCCCACTTTCTCATGGCACTTGTGGCCACTCGTCTCCTTCATGTCCCACCCCAGCAAGCTCTGTGCCCTGGCCTGGGCACGTGGCCATGTGCACGCGGGCAGGGGCAGGACATAAGGGAAAGGGGTGCTGAACCAGGGGAGTTGGACCTGTGTGATGTGGTGGCCACACTCTGGAGGACGGCCTATGGGCAGGGGCTGCAGCCCCATCACCCTGCCCCCAGCACTTGCAGACCAAGTGAAGGGCCAGTGTGCGAGGGAAGGTGGAGCAGGGGCAGCTCCCCCAGTGGCCAGAGAAGCCAGACAAGGACAGAGGAACGGAAGAGGGACAGTGCTCCCTCCCTCCTGCGCAAGGAGCCACCTGGGGCTCAGGTTGGAACTCTGTCCATTGGAGCCCTTCTGGGCCCCTCCCGAGCCCCCGCCAAGCAGCACAGAGCATTCCTGGAAGAGCCCGCGAGGCCAGGGAGCCCAACCCCCAGGCAAAGGCCCCCTGGGCTCCAGTCAGCAGCAGGACAGACCAGGAGCCAGAGCCCTCTGACAGCAAGGAGGGACCATGTCTGGCAGCCAGCCACATGTCCCCACCCACCCAAGGAACAGCAGTTGGTGGTCACCCATGGGTTGACCGATTGAGAACAGGGCTCCCCAATGGAACAGCCCACCAAGCTCAGTGCCCAGAAGCTGCCAACATGTCCGACAAGGCCCAGGGCCCTGAAGAGGCACCCCTGGGATCTGCAAGAGACCCTGCAGCCCAAGAGGTGGGACCCAGCCCAGACCACACCCATCTCCCCAGCCCTGAGCACCGGAGCAGGTGAGAAGTCTGGAAGGGGTGAGCAGGATGTTGGTGGGCACTCAGCCTTGGGGACAGGCACCTGGGTCAGGACAGGCCCCTGCGTCTCCTCAGGCACCTCCCAGTCTCCGACACTGGTCTCAGAGGTAGAGGGACCCCAGCAGTCAGCCACCCCTGGGGCTTTACCAGGCCTTTCCCCACCCAGCCTCCAGCCCTCTGAGCACTAATTAAACAAATGTTAATTAAAACAGCAGAGTGACAAGAAAGGCCTCCCTCCCGAGCCTGTGCCACCACTGCCCAAGGGACCTCCAATCAGGAGTTCCAGGGACAGGGTTCTTCCCCAGACCCTCACTAGACACAGCACACAGCACAGCGGCTTCCCACGGCTCTGGGCCTGGCTCTGGGCCTGCGTGTGAGCCCAGGGACACAGACCCCTCCCACTGGGGTGTCCCAGAAACCCAGCACCCCCTCAGGGGATGACGGTAGAAAGAGAAAAAGCCAGGCCCAGCCAGAGGAGAGGGAGGTCCTCGAAGTCAGGAAGTGGGAGTCTGGGAGGGGCAGGAACGGGGAGAAGGGCAGGGAAAGCCATGCAGAGGAGGGAGGGGGGGGACAGAAGAGCCAGGCACAGGGGATGTGAGSACCCCAGGGGCTGAGCCCTCTCACTGGGCTCCACAGAAGTGAGCCGCCCTGTCCTCCCCAATGCCCAGCACTGGCGGTCCACCAACCTGGGGGCTTGGCCTGGAATCCAAGGGGCCCTTGGTGTCTGGCGGGCCTCAGAGCCCACCCCCCACACGAATGCTCTTTTGCCTTAACATTCGTGATTCAGCCAAGGCCCCAGGGACCCAAGCCAGGCTCAGGGGAGGCTCTGAAAAACAAGATGCCTTGTCCTCAGAGGCTGCCTTCTAGAGCAAGAGAGACGTAAACACTGCGGTGGCTCCTGCGCGTACCAAGGAACGGCCCCTGAGCATGGGGAGCACCAGTCCCCCCAGGGGCAACTCTGACACCCCACTGATGTCACTGGTGGGTCTGCAGGTCTCCACAGGGCCACAGAGGGCTTCCTGGGGAGCACCCCTCCCAGGGTGAAGGTGCCCACCTGGGAAGGGCACAGGGGCAGCCTCCACACCAACACCCCTGGGCCCCCCACACCCAAGGCCCCAGGACTGGGGGACGCTCAGGAGCCCACTAGCCACTGCCACACTCAGGAAGCCCCAGACTCAGGGCTGCCTCTTCCTCCTCTGCCATCGGCTCCGGCCCCTCCTGTCTCCCCACAAGGGCCAGGCCATGGAGACAGTGGGTGGTAGGAACAGCTCTGCCCCCACCTCTCCTTGGAAGGGCGTGGGCTGGGCTCTGCACCTCCAGGGACCCCAAGGTCCCAGGAAGAAGAGCCTCTGGGACTGGGGCCCTACCAACCAGCTCTGGAGCAGAGGTCCCACGGCCCTCACTCCCTCAGCCTGCAGCCAAAGAAATGGGAGGGGGCCCTGGGGGGCAACCGAACAGATGGAACCACTGAGGCCAGTGGGCATGGGGCAGGCAGCTCCCTGGGCTCCTGGGCTGCTGGGGCGATGGCACTTTGGCCATCATGAGGACGAGCTGAGGAGGAAACTGGGTGGAGGCCCTGGTTGTGGCCTCAGGGGAAGGCAGCAAAGAGCTTGGAGGGTCCAGGTGGCTCTAGGACAGGAAGAAGCTCAAGGGCCAAGTGCCCCCCAGATCCCAGGCAGCAAAGCCCTCCCCTCCTGGGGAGCCTCTCCCCAGCAGACCCAGACCACAAAGCAGGCACCCTCCTGGTCACTCCATGCCCCACACCCTGGGCAGGGCATGGACACCCACACAGGGCCTGCAGGCCACCTACCCTGTGAGGACCACCACGAAGTCCATGACGTTCCAGCCATTCCGCAGGTAGGAGCCCTTGTGGAAAGCAAAGCCAAGCGCGATGATCTTGATCCCCGCCTCAAAGCAAAAGATGCCGATGAAATAGGGCTCTGTGTCATCCTGAGGAGAGGCATGGGGCACCGGTTACTTCTGCCCTCCCTGCAGTGGCTGGGGCAGCAGGCCCTGTTTGATGGCCACACCCACTGTCCCAAGTCTGATCTTCCTGAGCAGCCGGACACACCCAGACTCCTCCAGCCTGGCATTTCCACCACTAGCCTGTGTGTGCTCATCTGCATGTGCCCCCTAAAGGGACACCCCACTGCTGATGGACAGCATTAGTGTCTCAGCTTCTGCTCCAGCTCAGAGCACCCAGGGCCTGCTCTGCTTGAACCAGTGAAGAAGGCAATGAAGACAGTGAGGTGGAAGTGGGTCTCCATCAACTGTGGACACCCTGCCAATGCCCTCCACTGCTATCTCTTTCTAAGAAGATCCGTAGCTGGGCAAGGACCACAGCTAAACCCAGCAGCCACCTCAGCTGACCACGGGGCACAGTTATCTGAATAAAACTCAGCCTCAGAACTCAGTCCAGGGCCCACTGACACTTTCAATACACACCTGGATCAACAGAACCTGCAAACCCTAGCAGGGAACAAACAGAAACACAGAAGCAAAACCTGCAGCCCTGAGACCATGGGAGCAGTGGCTTCTGTGAGGACCCCCAGGACAGGAGCTTGTTCAGGGCCAGGGTCCTGAAACCAAGACACAGCTGGACCCCAGGGAGGCTCCTAGAGGTGTGGTGTCAAAGGGCCAAGTTTTCCATGGCCAGATTTTGAGGAAAAGAACTCCAGTTGAAGGAACCAGTGTGACCAAAAGGAAAGAAGATGAGAGATCCTAGAAAGACCCCTGTCCTCCACCCCAGGCAGTGACTTGGTCAACAGGTTCTGAGCATCAAGCTGGGGCAGGCCATTTTGGTGCTGAGCAAGCAGCGTGGAGCTTGGGGAGAACGGTACCACATGAGGGTGCAGCATGGCAAGTGACAGTGCTTCACAGGTCTAGGGACAGTGGCAAAGAGCCCTGGGAGCTGGACTTGGGGAGCCGGACCTGGGTACTGGACCTGGGTAAGGGACCTGTGGAGTTGGACCTGGGGAGCTGGACCTGGGTATTGGACCTGGGAGCTGGACCAGGGGAGCTGGACCCGGGTACTGGATATAGGGAGCTAGACCAACGGAGCTGGACCAGGGGAGCCGGGCCAGGAGAGCTAGACCTGGGTACTAGACCTGGGGGGCTGGACCTGGGTACTGGACCTGTGGAGCTATACCAGGGGAGCTGCACCTGAGGAGCTGGACCTGGGTATTGGACCTGTGGATCTAGACCAGGGGAGCTGGACTAGGGGAGCTGGACCAGGGGAGCTGGACATGGGCACTGGACCTGTGGAGCTATACCAGGGGAGCTGGAGCTGGGGAGCTGGGCCTGGGTACTGGACGTGGGCACTGGACCTGTGGAGCTATACCAGGGGAGCTGGACCAGGGGAGCTGGAGGTGGAGGGTCAGCAGGACTCAGGTCTGTACTCAGCAGCAGATGAAGAGGAGCTAAGGAGCAGGCCAGCTCCCAGAGCCAAGGGCATAGTAATTTTCCTGACAGTGAAATTCACTGGAGGAACTTCCCTCCAGAGAGCTGCTCTGTCCTGCGGGGCAGGGGTCAGAGTGGCAGGGCTGGACATTGGCTGCAAGAAGCTGCCAAGTGAGATGGGACTACCAGCCCCCAAAGCCTGAACCTTTCTCCCAGAAGCCTGGCTCCTGATGGCTCTCTCCAGGGGATGAGGCAGGACATAAGCTCACAGCAGGCCTATGGATGCTGCCAGAACACAAGGGTTCACTGTGGCCCAGTGCTCCTGCCCTGCAACTCTGATGCTGACTCATGACAGGGACAAGGCCCCTGGAGGAGTGTGTACACTTTCTGTGACCTCAAGCCTTCTTAGTTTGAAGCATCCTCTTTCCCAAGAAGAGGAGCCACTGATCATCTGCCCAAATGGAATAGCTGGGCCCAGAGGACACATCTTCTCAGAAGGCTTATGGACAGAAAAGAAAAGTGCAGGCCGTACTCCAGGGCCACTGGGAAGGAGACACTACCCCAGAGCTCTCCTCTCAGCTCATCCCAGCCTGGCCCTGGACCACCACCTAGGGGTACAGGCAGCCATGGGTGTGGGTGGCACTGGACTTCAAGGGGCTCCAGCCAAAGGCAAATCAGGAAGCTGATGGATGGGTGGGAAGCAGAACCCCCAGATGAGGAGCCAGGAAGGCTGCACCAGAGCCTGGCTAGCAAACCACTGAGAAATCCACCCAACCCATTCAACCCCCCTGCTGCCCAGACAGCAGTCCAGCCTCCAGACCATAGTCTAGCTCCTGTCTGTCCTCAGACCCTTGAGGGCTGGACCTGCATGCAGGACCGGGGTCAGCAAAGAGGTCCCCAGGCTTCCATCTGGGACACATTCTGCTGATTCTCCCCAAAGATAGCCCCCATCCAGAAGCACACACCCCCATCTGCCACACAAAGCAAAACTGCTGCACCTGTGAGGCAGAAGTTCACACGGCTGGATGCCAGCTGGTCCACAAGAGGACCCTGAGTCTGGCCACTGCACTGGTCTCCCTGCACCAACCCCAGTCTGACCCTTGGCCTGAGTCTCTCTGGCCCTACTTACCAGACTTCATGGAAATAGGACCATGCCTGTGCCCTGGACCTCCAGCTTCCTCTCCCTTTCACCCTCTGCTTTGTCCTCTGAAGCACAGCTCACTACCAGTAGGAGCTAGAGGTCCAGAGGAGGCAAGAGACCCCATCAGCCCCATGCCCAGGTACCCCCAGGGACCATGATTGCCTCACAGCATGGTTGATCTGTGCCCACTGCCACCACCCAACCCACATGGCCTTCTGTTGTACTCCAGGAAACTCCTCAGCTCCCAGTGTCCACCTAATCATCTCCCCTTCCACACCACAGGGCCAGGAGTGGCTAGGTGGCCAACCAGAACTCAGAAGGGCACTGGGCCCCACAAAAAGCACCTACCAGGCCATATCTCACATCTTCACTGAGCAGGAGTCGTGAGGTGGCAGCCAGGGTAGAGGGAAGACGGAGCAGAGGCTGTGCCCTGGGGGACCTCATGCCCAAGCCCCCCTCTCGAGGCCCCTCCAATTGCCTTCTTTCTCTGCATTCTGAGGCGTAGCAGCCCACACCCAGCCCACACTGAGCCCAAACAAAGGGGCCTGGCAGGAGAGAAGAACTATGGGTTTGGAACTGTGCCATCACCTGTGAAGTTATGCTCACTCTGATCCAGCCCTCTGACCCAGAGTCCACTAGGCTGGCCTTCAACACCTGCCTCCTACTCTGCCCAACATCCTGCAGAGGTCCTGCCCTGGCTCCTGGTTCTCACAGGCTCTGTGGTTCAGCACAGATACTACAAGGGTCTGGAGGGCTCTTGGCAGGAAGCTAGGGAGGGGCAGACCCTATGGGAACAGGGTTCTAAAAAGGCCACAGAAGATAACCCTGAAGGAGGACCCCAATCCCCAGACTCAGGGTTGCACCAAAAGAGCCCCACCAGGCCTGCAGGGAAGGTGGGCAGCTGACCCATTCTCCCCAGGGAACCCATTCAACCTGACATTCTCCTCTCCATATGAATGCTCTCCCTCGCCCCAGGTTTAGAACTTAGATTATCAGATGAGAGCCCAGAGCAGCTGCCTGGATGGCCCATCTGTGGTGTGGGGGTGGCTCCAGGAACAGAGCAGATCAGTTGAGCTGGACATCTCAACTTCCTGACCCTACAAGGAGGTGTCAGCTGCCCAGGTTCTATCCTGTCCCCTACCTGAAGTGTGTAGGGGTGCTTCCCAGCTCAGGCACAGATTCTAAAGAAAGTGAATCAGACAAGTTGCCACCATCCCACCATCTGGCCCCAGCGCCAGCACTCACCAGGCGCTCCGACATGGGCGTCTTGTCTCCGTCAGGGAGATGCTGCTCCAGGGCCAGCACGATGCAGTTGGCGATGATGGTGGCCAGAATCATGTACTCAAAGGGAGTGTGTGGGTTAAGGACTGGCCAGGAGGCGCCACAGCGGCAGAGGCCGGTGGCCGCGCAGTGCAGCAGCCTTGGCTAGGCGTCTCCCGAGGGCTGAGGATGGTGGGTCCTGAGCCCACCACGTCCACGGACGAGGGTTGGTCTCTCTCGCTGCCCACCCGCATCCCAGAGGACCGCCGAAAGGCGGGGCCTCTGCAGTAGCAGCCGCCAGCCCCTCTCCACGTCCGGGCGGCCGTCAGCACCGCGGACAGCGCCTCCGCCCAGATCCGCCCGGCCGGCTCCCCAAGGCTGGGGGCTGTGCGTTCCCAGAGCGGCAATACGAGACCCCCGCGCAGGCGCGCGCTCCCACCTAAAGACACGCAGCCACAAGTACCTACACAGGCACGTGAACATACATGTAACGAGAATCTCGAACGCACGCACGCGCAGCGCGGGACTCGTGCTATGCCCGCACACGCACACGCAGGCACCTGCAGCCAGCACGCGCACGGGCCCGCATCCACACGGTCTCACACCTACACAGACATGGATTCGCCCTCGGGTGCCCTCCATGCTGGCAGCGAGCTCTGCACCCCGACCAAGCTCCCCAAGGCCAAGTGAACCAAAGGTTGAGCCTTAGGGCGGAGGGGCTCCGCCCAGCACCCCTGGGGCCAGCTGGCCGCCGCCTTCAGGACCACACACACACACACACACACACACACACACACACACACAGACGCGCGCGCACGACCACACGCACACACGCGCAGAGACCGGCCTCGGAGGCCCCGCCCCGCCCCCTCCTCGCCGGTCCGCGGCGTCTTCGCTGCGCCTCTCCCGGGTCGCACCCTCCTCCTGGCCCGGAGAAAAATGGCCACTGGGCGCCGCCGCGACCGGCCCCAGTCCTCGCCCTCGGTCCAGACCGCCCCTCCCAGACCTGGCAGACGCGGAACACCGACGCCGCGCCCGGTCCGCGCCCCGTCCCTGCCCTCGCGACCTCGGCAGTCAGCCCCTGCCCCGCCCGGCCCAGTCGCTGGCAGGATATGGCCACTCGGTGATGCGCTTGGCGTATTTGCGGACGACGTTGTCCTCGCTGAAGACGAAGAGCGAGCGATTGACGGTGAAGCAGTTCTGCTTGACCGGGATGGGATTGTACAGCGCCATGGTCCGTGCGCGCTGCGCAATGGACTGCTTGTAGAGGACCCGCTGGCCCGGCTGTAGCCCTCCGGGGCCCGGGCCACCCGCCCCGCCGGCCCCGCCGCCCCGCGCCCTCTCCCCGCTGCCGGCGCCCCCATAGCGGCCGCCCAGCTCGTCCCCGAAGCGGACCATGGCTCCGGGGAGCCGCGCACATCCCCAGCCCGGTGGCCCCGGCAGGGAGGACGCGGGGCGCACCAGGCGCTCAAAGCAGAACAGTCGCCAAGCTGCCGGGACAGAACCGGACCTCGCCCGGCCCGGCCACCGCCGCACCCGACTCCGCGGCCCCGCGCCACGCCCTATAAGGGGCCGGTCACGCGGCGGTGTCTGGCCAATCCGAAACGGCCCCGCCCCCGGACTCTCCGGCCCCGCCCCCGCCTGGTCGCCCCCACCCAGTCTCCACCGCCCTCCCTAGCCGCTGGCCCTCGGGGCTGCGCCTAGGCTGATGCTGCGGGTGCGCCCGGGTTCCGGTCGGTCGGAAGAATGTGAGCCCTCCACGCGCCCCGCTCCGCACACGGGCTGGAAGCCACCAGAAGCGAACCGGTGCGCTAGAGTCTTCGACAGCCGCACTTGGCGCCGAGCCATGCTGTCCCCAGAGTTCACTCTGCCTGCGCGAACGCCCGACTCCTCGCATTCCACCCAAACCGACCCGCGTTCCCCAGAGATGTCAGCAGTGTTGAGATGCGCCAGTCCGAAGAGAGAGGACAGGCTCCAGGTTCCCCCACTAGGTCCACAACTCACTCTTTCCTGGAGGCCGCATGGACAGCTCCTCTGGACTTCTCTGCAGACCTCCCTCCGCTTCCCAGAAGGCCTGGTCTCCCGAGGGCAGTTCTGGTCCTAATGGTTCTCCGACATTCTTGCCCCAAGTTTTCATGACACAGTCCTGTCGAGGGCCCCCAGCCCTTGTGCATACACCAGACACTGAATTGGCTACTAGATCTCAATTCTGACATTCTGACATTAATTCAATAAGAACCGAATAATGGTGCCCTCCCACCACTTCGTCCATCCATCCATCCTCCCTCTCCCCCAAGCATTTTGTAAGCACCCATTTGCCAGGCACTGGTTCCTCCTTCGTGGAGGTGACATTTTTACACCAAGGATAGCAAATATTTACATTGCACCTGCTTGGTGCTAGGCATGATGATCACACACAATTGCTAGAGGTCCCACAGCATGCTGGTGAGAAGTTTTCCCAAATCACTCTTGGTGGGTGGTAGAGGAAGCCAGACAGGGATCCTCTTCACTCTGCCAGGACAAACATCCTGAAAACAAGCTTGCCAGCCTCCTGGAGGAGGCCTTTCTGCTTTGGGGTCGGGGAAAACTCCTTCCAGGAAAGGAGGAATTCTGGAGCACACCTGAATGCTACAGAGGTGAGGCATGCAAAGCCAGGCCAGGCAGAGGACCGTGGAGGTCCATGAAGACCACATGTCAGTATCCGGCTTATATTCCAGAGGAACCTCTGGCTGCTGCGGGAGCATGGAAAGTGGCAGACCAGGTGTGGATCTACAGAGCCAATGGCTCTGTAGAGGAGGTGGAGGAACCCTGTGTCTCCACCCCTGTCTCTGTCCCCTTATCATCCAGGCAGTCAGAGGTAGGCAACCCAACTTCATCTAGGAGCAGCTTGTACAGTACAGTCCTGACCTCACTGATGAAATGTCAGTCTTAGAGACTGTCTTTCCATCCCCCTCACTCCCCCGATCAACACAAGCACCACACTCTGTCTTCTTGCCTGCCGCCCCTGGCCCAAGGAGCTGCCTCAGCACTAAGCATGACACCTCTGCATCACCATCTCAAACAGGAAGGGCAGGTGTAAAAATAGTACCCACTTTAAACAATCAATTTATGACATCTTTTTATAATGAAGAAAAGGCTTTTTCATAAGGCTTGAACTTCATTAAGCAGACAAGACAGCTGTCATCCCCTGAATGGGCATGAAGCTGCCCAAGTCAGGGCTCACTTCTCTGAGAAGTAGGAGGGAAGGCTGCCATTGACCCATTGCAGAACAGAGAAGCCAGCTGGGGGTCTTGACTGCTGCCAACAGAAGGGTAGTGTGGTTTGGATACTGGGCCATGGCTGTGACCCCTTGACTGTACACCAGAGCCCACCAAATTGTGGATGTGGAGGTCAAATGTGGAGCAGGGATTGGGGAGTTCATACAGTCAGGAGGCACATGCAGAGGAGGAGGCAGCTGGTGCAGTGAGGAAGCAGACGGTGGGTGTAGACACCTGGTGCGGTGAGGAAGTGAACTCAGGTATGTGGACAGCTTTTCTGCAAAGGGGAGCAGAGACTGAAGCAATAGTTAGGGAGAGGCCTGGCGTGACTGAGTGGGTGGGTCTGTAGGTAGCACCCTTATGCTATGCTCATGCTCGGCAGGAGAAGCTGCTGATACAGAGGGAACATGGTGTGGTCTGTACAGGAGGCACAGGCCCTTCACTCTTGCAGAGTGCAGCCAGGCGCTGGCTGAGGGCACCACTCAGGGAAGAGTGGTCCTGAGTGCTCACCCGGGCATGTGCGGAGAATGAACTGCAGTGGGATACACAAAAGGGGCTGGGTGGGGAGCCAACGGCCAGGGCTGGATGTGAAGGCTCACACACAGGCGTCGAGTGAATGAACTGACCAGAGGAGCCTACACACATGCTCCCCAGCTCCCTGGGCCCTCATCCCACACACCTGGCAAAATGCAGACTACAAACCTCCGGGGACACACCTACTGGTTCCAGCTGCTGCTGGTCACACAGGGGACAGACTGGCACATCCATGTCCCCCAAGAAGACTGTGGGTCCCGAAGTCAGTGCTGCCCCTATGCTACATGATGGCAGCTGTGACCACAGCCACTGTCTGCCAGACTCTACACCAAAAGCCAGCCTCTCTGTGGTTGCTCCTGAGATGTCCTGGCAATGTTCCCTTCTTGGCCCCACCTCTGGCACTGGGTTGGGTCCTCTTAGGGGAATGGAGAGGTAAATCTACAAGTTTTTCTTTCTTATATAAATAATGTCTATCTTAAATCTAATGCAGGGCGCTAATGGCTCTGCAGAAGAGGCGGAGGAACCCTGTGCCCCTGTTCTTGTCCCCTCATTGTCCAGACACCATTGCACACACTCATTCTGCAGAGCTCTCACTGTGCTCCACTCTTAACCCTGTGCAACACAGGTGCGTGGCTTTATGTGCTTCTGAGTTCTGCATCCAGCAGCACCACACGGTGCTGCAGGGGCTGCCACACACCACACCATGTGGAGTGGAGGGAACCCGTATTGCCTCCCATTCCATCAGGATGGAGATTTGTGCTGAGTTCTCCTGCTCTCCTGGTATGAGGCAGGAGCTGCAGATGCAACCCCAGGAGGAGGATTACTGGCCATCGGTGGCGCCTCTACACCGGAGCCTCAGGGAGCTGCTAGTGCAGGCATGGGCAGGGGTAGCACCAGAACACAGGCAGATCTGTCCGCCTCAAATCCTCCCCAGCACTCTGTATGACCAGCCTGGTAGGCATGTCAAGTGCTCCCCTTGGTTTAATATGCATCTCATTGGTGACTAATGAAGCAGAGACGCTTCTCATGCTTCGCGGTGAGTTCCGAAGGTTGACAGTGCTGCTACCCTCCAGGATGGCGCAGGGAGTCTCCTGCTCGTTTGGTGGTCTGGTGGACCGTGCAGCCCTCACCTCACACATGAGCCAAACTCATCCAGCTCTCCCTCTCTTCTGCTGGGTGTTGAGTGCATGCTCTCCTTGACTTCCTTAAAGTCCGAGTGGTCTTGCTTTTCCTCCTAAGCCACTTGAAACTAGTTCTTCTGCGTGACAGGAGGCAGGCAGGCAGGGGTCTGCTTCCCTTGGGGATGCTCAAACTCTCCCTGCAGGGTGTCTGCGTCCCTGGTGTCTGGGCCCTGCCCCAGGCAGGCAAGGCGCTCCCTGACGCTGCTATGTTGGGGAGTGCTGTGGAAGGACCCCCCACCCATCCTGAAATTCAGGAGCCACTTGGTGTCCCCACCTACCCCTTTCACCACTTCAGAACCCACCACTCAGGCGACACACCCAGAGCTGTTGACAGCACGTTCACAGAGCAGCTGGGGGCAAACAGACGTCCTTGATGCTAAGCTTCCAACACATGAGCAATACATGTGTTCATTGATCAGGGTCATTTTTAGCTTTTATTAAAAATTGGTTTTCATAAAAATTTATTTTTTTAAAGTTCAATTTTTCAAACACATTTTTACAAAAGCTGTGCACATTCACATTTACTCTGGGGGGTTTTATCTGATTGCATACTGTAATAAAGGATTTCATTTTAAGCTGTTGTTCCAAGACAGTTCTCTGCTGATTTGACAGTGACCTCACTAAATATTATGGCTGCTTCTAATAATTTGTGGCAGATTTTTGCTTTCTGTGTAACCATGTGGACAGCAAGTTTCACCTCCTCTTTTCCAATCCTCTACCTTTCACTTCTGGCCTTCTTGTGCCAGCTCAGAGGGGGCGGTGCAGCAGCCCCACCCAGGTCCTGCTGCCAGGGGTCTTGTTTCCACCCGCACCTTAGCCAAGTGAATTGTTTCTGCCCTCATGCTCCAGTCTTCCCGAGCAGTGACCTGTCTGGCCATTGCTTTCTCTTCCTTAGCCGGTCGACAGGCCCACCACACTCTGGGTGAGCCAGGATGGCCATGCCACCATCCACTCCCACCACCAAGGTCAGGCTCTCAGACAGTCCCTATGGGGCCCCAGTGCCCAGGCCAAGGCCTCCAGACCAGGCTGCAGTGCTCCCCCAGGCAAGTCCACTCTGGGTGCGGGCTACAACCTGGCAGCCCTGGTGATTCCAGCCAGGAGCCGCTGCTTCAAGTTCTGTCCCTCAGGTCATTGATCAGTCCACCTTTCTGGAAGGTTCTTGGCCTGCAGTTGTTCACCACAACTTCTTATATACACTGTACATGGGACTGTGTCCATTTAAAATTCTCATTTTACTTATATTCCCCAGGTTTGCCATTTTATTAGACTGTCAAATGATCAGTGTCTGCCTTTGACTGTCTCTGAGGTGCTTTCCTCTCCTCTGCTACCTGCCCCCACGCCCCCTGCTGCCTGCCCCCCTCACCTCCTGCTGCCTTCTTTGCTCCGTGCTCTCTGCACCTCCTCTCATCTGTTTATTTTGGTTACT